AGATCTCAACTTAATTTTTTGTCATGTTCACAATATTTGCATTTATTTTCATTTGGTGTTTTTAATAGCCTTTGTCTATACTAAACAAATCTTATCATTGCCAAAAATACAAAAGTAAACTCATTGGATATCTAATCAATCAAATTAGCTCAAGAGAAAATTCTAGTGTAGATAAAAATATAAGAAAAGTCTTACCTAAGGAGAATCCACAAATATTAGGAGGTAATATATTAAGAAAGACAAAATGTTCTGTGATAGAACTCAAATAGACTGAGTGTCATAAAAAGTAGATTCCTATGAACAAAATACTAGTCATATTTAAAAAATTGCCTTTATTGAAGAGTTTTGTATTTGGATATTTTGTATTACATTCTAATTATTACAGTTAGCCACATTTTAATTCCTCAAAAGTATCCTTTTAACTTAGAATATAGAAATAAATAGAAAAGTATTAACAAACGTATGCCATTTTTGGGAGGGGGAAATGTAATGATTCATTTTATATATATATATATATTTATATATATATAGATGTACGTGAGAACTCAAATCTGTAAGAAGCTTTTATTCATGAACCATGGAATTATTTTGACAAAATCTACTACCGTACCAATCTCTTCACTTCCAACAACGAACAACACAAAAAAAATCCCCTATGAGCATTTTAATTTCTATTCTAAGTACCTGAAGTTTACTTTGGTTACGAGCAGCCTTTTTCGCTTAATAAAACACGTTTAGAGAGCTGAATAGTCTCAGAAAAAATAAAGCGAGAAAAATTTGTATACCGCGTGTTTTTCTTGTAAAAAGAACCACCTCTTAGAACACTTCTCGAAAATAGTAAATATGGTTTTTAGAGGAAAAAAAAATATCGTTGATAAACTTATAGAAATCATTGAAAAGAAATTTACTTAGGCTAATGAAAGCATACAAAAGGACTCAGATTTCCTGCCGAATACTCAGAATACACTTCAGTTCAGTAAATAGTGAAAGTGAACCCTATTTCACTATCGTTTTTGACGGTAGATAATGCTAATAACCACCTAAGATGAAAACACGTGGTTTGAAAGTTCTGAAATAAAAATTGCTTATTGTTTAAAAATTCTAAACGGTTTATCATCCGTATTTTTAAATAATCAATACTTGGTTCATATCTAAATTCCCTCACATTTCGAAATTTTGCATAAAATTTAGATACATAAATTAATGCTGGTGTTTGCGTTATAATTCGAAATATTTCAGGCAGTTATTAAATTTAAATTAACATTAAATTAAATGATAAATACATTCAAATGTAATAATAATAATGAAATTCATTAGCCTTGATTCCGTTTAAATGCATTCATAAACGTAAACTTAAAAATGAACAAAAAATAGACAAGTAGGCCCAAGCAGGGCTGGTATCCATAAGTTATAAACCCTCCTTATAGGCAGACTCAGTAAGTAATTAGAATTAGTCAAATAATTTATAAATGATTATTATTTCCCTTTTTTAAAAAATTACTCTCAGTTCCAGAACAAAATTTTATCTCCCGTTTAGAAAATTATTTAAAATAATTCTATTAAACCCGAAAATTATTTAAAATATATGTTCTACATCCATCTTAGGAATGGAATAGCTTGACTATTCATACTTTTGCTTTCATTGTATTTCAATGTTTTGAATCTTTCAGAAGAACTGGTTTTTATTGTTTGGATAGTTATTGCTGTCTAAGAACTCCTCCCGCCTCAAAGTCTGAGGCCTCCTGGTGCTATGGAAACAAGAACGGCGCATTTTAGGGAGGGTTGCTTCGCTCTAGGACTGGACTAACACAATAGACTGATGAAAAAGATTCCCTTTCTCTGGCCGACCCGAGCCGAAACCACTCAAAAATAGAGATCCGACCCTGCACCCCTACTTGAAATAGTCATACCTTGTTACCATAGTCACCGACAGGGGTCCAGACGAATGTCTGGAGGAGTTCTTATTTTAAACAAATTATACATTGGATCCACCTTCTATCCAACGTCATAAAGTACGTTGAATCTTACAAACCAATAGGAAAACACTATTACTACAGTTAACTAAAAGCTGTGGGTGGTTTGGTGTTGAACCGAGTACCGACGCCAGGGTTAGTATTTCAGTTTTCCTTTTTCCACTTGTTGTGCGTTTTCTTGAGAAATACAACTCTAATCTTTTTGGGTAAGGTCTATGTTAACGTTGATTATTTATATAATAATTATGAGTTATTAAATTATATTTTAATTGTTATCTTTATGATTATTTCAAACTTGATATACATTTGTAAAGTAGGCAATACCAAAGCCTCATAAGTAGCTAACGGTAACCGTTATGAATCATTCATTATTGAAACGGTACAATAACTATCATATTTCTGTCATTAATAAGTTGAAATAGAAAATAAAGTAAAATTATTTATTTTCCTGTTTTTTTCCATCCTTTTATCTTCCATTAATCCTTTTTTTATTCGCCTTTTGCCAACAAGTTTGGTTTCTTTATAAATGTTACTTGAATTTTTATATATTATCAATTGCTTAAAAAATGTTGAGTATTATTCTACTAATTAAGTTGTTGAGTATTATTCTATTAATTGCAAATAGTTTTTTAATTAATTAACTAGTTTTGATAAATGTTATTGAATATTTAATTTTAAATTAGATAATAAATTACACAGTCAAATACTGATTAATACATTAAAATAAATATTTATAAATATATATTAAGATCAAAATCAATTGTAATAAATTAATTTAATTTAAATAAACTTTAATTTCAAAAGAAATCAAAATTTCTTATGCAAAGTTAGTTTTTCTTAATTACCGGTTATATTAATTTAATTATTTAACTTTTTTTGTGTGTTTAATTTGCTAACAAAAAAATATATATGTATATAAACCAAACCTTTTTATTTTGATTAATTACCATGAAGCCTTTTATTACCGCTTTTTATCATAACTTTTTATTATCTGCTATAAATAATCTAGTAAACGTTAATTTTTAAACAATCATATTTAGGCATTTATTTTTCTCTCCCTAAAGATAGCTAGCTTTGATAGTTATTATTCAGCTGTTAAATTTAAAATTAAATAATAAATTAACGCATTCAAATAATAATTAATCCATTAAAATAATTCAAATGAAATACAAGAGTACTTAACTAATTTAAATTTAGTTTTAAAAGGAGTCTAAATTGCTTAAGCAAAGGTAAATTCCTGATTTGCGGGCTTAATTGCGTTTTTTTTATTTTTTTTTATAAATGTATTTTTATTTCTACCAATTCATTTGATTTATCATTAATACCAACCGTAATATCACTTTTTATTATCTGCTTTGAATGATAAATATAACAATAGCTTTTTTTTAGAAAAACATATTTCATTAATTTAAACAAAAATAATGTTTGGTTAAGTTCTTTAAACAATTTTATCAGTTTTTAATTTGTCAGCAAATGTTTTTATAATTTTCGAGTAATAATTACTCTTAGTTCCAACTGATAATTACATATTATTCTTTTCTATTTTATTCTTTTCCTTAATAAATTTATTAGTAAAATTTTTAAAACCATTTTTAAATACGATACCGTTTAAAATGTCTAGTTTTACTATGAATATATATTTATTTGATTTTTTTCTATCTATTAAATAAATATGTTTATCAGTTCAACTAATTTTTAATCAAAAATAAATAATTCTTGTAATAATTTATTACAAATATTTTTAAAATGAATACTTAAAATTTTGACCGCCTATAAACTTAAATTTGTTAATTTTCCTTGCTACATTCAAGGACTAAATTTACGTTTATTTTTCAAAGATAATAATTACTTTAAGCAAAGAAATTTTTTTAATTATTAGTACAAACGCTTTCTAATAATCGACTAAATTACTTTATTCTAGACAATTTATTAGTTTTGTCTAAAATGTGGAATTATTTAATTATGGGTTATCAGTTAATAATTTAATTTTGTTATAAATTGTTTAATTATTTTGGTTGTCTGTTATTTGTACTTATCAATTAGAAAAATTAACTAATGTATTGTTAATTTCATTATTATTTTGAATTGAATCGTTAGAGACTCAAAAATTTTTGATCCTTTTTGATTTTTGGTTTTGCATTTATTTGAAAACTTTTGTACTTATCTTCAAACTAATACTTCTAGTGTAACCTTAACTTTGATTTTTTGGTATGCTAAATTTTCTCATTTGTTTATTCGCATGGAGTTGAAGTTTTTTTCAATCATTTTAAGCAGTTTAATCATCGAAAAATTTTCTCCATAATTATTATAAATTTTGAATTGTTCTGTAAATATAATATATCATTTTATACCTTTGTCTTTCTTCTCACTCATCATATGTAAAACTAATGTGATGTACCTATATTATATTTTAAGTACTTAGTACTAGAATGTAAGCCCTTTTAAATACTTAGTTTCAAGAAGGTTTTATTATTTAGTGATATTTAAAATTGGATTGGCATTATTTAAGGCATCATTTAATTATTGGATTAGCATTATTTAAGTTTTCATAGCTGATCAAAGATTTATTTGAAGAAAATAATGATGCTCAAACTATCATATTTCAACTTCAGTCAAATAGTTAAAAAAAAGAATACTAAAAGTGATTAAGAGTGTCATTAAACTTTTAAGTTATAATTTTTCCTAAACTATATGTATATCGTATCTTAAATCGTATGTATCGTAATCGTAATTTATAATTTAAGAATATAACAAGCATAAAAGAAAATGCCTGTTACTATACGTTATTTAATATTCAACCGGAAATCGAAATTCCTTGAGATTTGTAGATAATATTTTAATAGTCTCTGAGTATATTTTCAGATAGTATTTTAATATTTATTTAATTTGTAGACAATAAAATTCCTATAACTTAAATCGAAACGGAAAAATTACACTTAACGGAAAAATGGAAAACTTAAATGAAAAAGAATATACATTGCCTGCCTGTAATGATTACTGGATTTTGTATAGTAGCTATGTTTTTGTTAAAATTTAAAATTTGATTCGGATTTTTTTTAACGGATTCTTTTTGTTACTCTGTTACTATACATTACTTAATATTCATCAGGAAATTGAAATTCATCTAGATTTGTAGATAATATTTAAGTGTAGTTTCTAATCTTTTTCTAAGATTCCTAAGACTAAAACATGGTTTTAAGCTGTTTTTGTTTAATCCAACTCTGCTTGTTTCAAAAATAGCTAAAGAAAAATTAACACATTGAATTAAAATTTAAACCCTTCTGATAATTGCAAAATACGTTTAGAATTAAAAGAAGAGAAAAATATGATTCAAATTAGGCATGCAAATAGTAGCTTTAAAGAAAACTACGCAATCATTTAGCTTTTCTCATTTCTTCCAAAATTTTAGAAGTAATTTTATAATCCAATAAAAAAAATTCAAAATACAATGAAAACTTTTATTAGTAATTTAGCAAACAAATATTACTCACATTAAAATTAATTGCTGCTCAGAATTGAAATTAACTGCATGCTATAAGTTCCATGCATATTTGAGTAATATAAAAAAAACTAAAACTGTATTTAACTTTTGTCAGAGGAGCAGAAATAGAAATTTTCTTTGGAAATTATACTCCCGTGTGAAGAAATTCATTAAAACTTGTTTTTTTATCTTTATTTATTTAATCTTTAACTCTTTTTATTCCTATTTTACAACACATTTATATTTAGAGCCTCGAATCATTAAGAATTTGTCACAGAATATGAAAATTTGAAAATTAAATCAAAAAAATTATCAATTTGTTTGTGTTTCATATTATTGTGTTTATTTGCTGTGTGGTATGTCGTTCTGTAACTACCAAGTCTACAGTTTTCTATGTTTGTTTTTTAATTTAATAGAAAATATTTTTTTGCATAAATGCTATAAAATTTTCAAGAAAAAAAGAGAAAATTTTTAAATAGAATATAAATTTCATATTAAAATAAATTATTAACTTAGTTTTTTCTCACTTGAAAATTAGTATATACGAATAATACAGCTAAATAATTGAATATTTTAATTTATGGAATATTAATTTTGTCGGAGATTTCTGGTTTTTGGAACAATGTGAAAGTATTTATTTTTTGATTTAGTTTCCAACCTATATCATATAAATTTTATTGCTAATGAAAGGTTTATCTAAAGATATAATTAAAAAGATGTGTGTGTAAATATTCATATTTCAAGTTAGACAAACCAATAAGAAAAGGACTAAAAGTAGTTAAGAGTTTGTTATGATTTTTAGTAAAATATTTTCTTCCATATCTAGGAGCCGGCTGCATTGGCTATTTCTTTCTAGCAGCCGAGTCAGTGATCAAAGAACTTTGCCGAATTAGGAATTTAAGAGAACTTGAAAGAGGAACTGTGTTCATATACATTATTGAATATTCATCCGGAAATCGAAATTCATTTAGATTTGTAGATATTATTTTAATATTTTCAAAAACGAAAATCGCTGAAAATTTGTTAAAAAAATTAAACTAAATGAAAAAGAATATGCGTTGCTTGCTTGTAATAATTGGATTTTACACCTTTAGTGATAGAAGCTACACTATTGTCAAATTTTGAAATTTTTAATTCGGATTTTTTTAAAAAAAATAATGGAATTACTATCCTTTTGAGTTAACCTGCCAGTTGTGTCAAAGATGAGTTGAAAATGGTAAATCTTTTCTTTTTCTTTTCTTTCATCTTCATCTTTTTCATCTTCATCTTTTCTTTTCTTCATCTTTTTCTTTTATTTTTCATTTCAATTTCTTTCATTTTTTTTCCATCTCTCCTTCTTCATCTTCTCTCTTTCTTTCATCTTCTCCTATTTCTTTCCTCTTTTCATCTCTCTTTCATCTTTTCACCCTTCCTCTTTTCGTCTCTCTTTTCACCTCTCTTTCATCTTTTCGTCCCTCTTTCATCTTTTCGTCTCACCTTCGTCTTTTCATCTCTTCTTCTTTTATCTTGTTGAAAGTTTTCAAGTTCAGTTTAGAAATATATATTTTTTTTATCTCAATCAGATTTTTTATCGTTCATATTGACAGCTTTGTAATGGCCTAATTTTATGATAATATAACTTTATAACTTAGTCAATTACAAATCGTTTCCAGTCAGTTTTCAGAAAGTCAAATGGAAAATCTAAACTTTCGTATCTTCCTTAAGAAATTTCGAATTCTAAGGTTTTTTTTAAAATTATATTTATATACATCATGAATTTTATACTTTTCATATCCACAGCAATGTTGCAATCGATTCTTTAAATTCCATTAATGAAATTTAAGTTTTTTGTGATTAGACAAATCCAAAGACTTTGCGCACAGATGGCATTTCAACAAAACATGAATATTAAAGTCTGCTGCCGCATTCGAGGGCAGAATGAAGAGGACAAGAGGGCTTTAGATCATAGTTACAGCTTTCCTGATGAAAAATCAATGCTGCATTTGCCTTCGGTATGTTATTTTAGAAATTTTTTGTTTTTTCTTTTTACGCAATTTTGTTTGTTTATAAAGTTTACGGGTTGAATAAGTTCTATTTTCGAAAGATCTTTCGTCCCATGAAATAATGCTAATTTTTGAATTGTTTGCCATTTTCATAACTCTTATCTTATGGAATATTACAGTTAATGATCTTCTTCATTTTGTTATATTAAGTTCACCTATCATTAGGCAGTACTCTTTATGATAATTGTTAAAATAGCGGAAGTTAACCACCTGTCCTTGTTGCCTCCTAATCTATAACTATTTTTTTCCTATATAGTAAAAGAAACCAAAGAATTTACAATATTTAATGAACCAAAAGTGTTGATACCAAAACTTCTGCGCTTTTCAGAAGAGTTGTACATAATTACATAAATACAAAAATTACATGCACATAAATGGACATACTATAGTTTCGGTTGTGTAAACATTTCCTCTGTCTATACACAAAATGACAGTAGAAAAGGAATGAGATAAACATGAGCGAATTGGTTGACCCCGTAGGAGCAAATTTGAGAAGGATGATAAAAAAAGGGAGATTAGAAACAGGTTGAGGGTGTTTGGCAGGAACCTTAAAGTTCAAAAAATTAAATTATAATAGGGAAGGGAAATAAATTAGAATATATTTGGTGATAGTAGCATACTAAAGAAATCGTTAACTAAACTATTAGACTTTCTCATAATATTGCACTGTACATGTTGGAATGCGTGTTTGTTCATAAACCGGGCCTCCTGGTAGAAATTGGAAAAGTCAGGGATTATAATATTCCCTACAAATTTAGAACATCACTATCTAATTATAGTTATTATACAGTTTTCATAACTTCAAGTGTAAAAAAAAAAGAAAAAAAAACCTAAAATTTCTCAATAGGAAATTTTGAATTAACTGTGCAATAGTCCTCTTAAACCTTCTATTATTTATTTTACAAATTCGCAATGTGAAAACTATAGTATTATCATATTATTCATCCTATTTTTGCTGATAAATCAAGGCTATATTTAATTTTTCTCATGTTTTTTGTTAGGACAAAGTGTATACCTTTGACCAAATATTTGATCAAAATTCATCCCAGGAGCAAGTATACAACGATGTTGCTAGACCTATAGTTACCAGTAAGTTAAGATTCATTTTATTTTCTTGTATTTTTTATAACACTTCTTCTTAAGTTATAAATACAAACTTACTAATACGTTTACATAAATGAAGTTAAATTCTTTGTATTTGGGAGGGGGTTAGAAATGTTCTATTAATAAGTTAATATTTGATTACTTACAAAATGTAAAAGTTTCCAAGTCGGTTTAGACTCTTGTTGAATTTCCTTACTTCAAATGCTTTTGATAGTTTTTAAAGTATAGTAGGATATTATTTTCAGAGTTGTTATTCTGATTCTAATGAACACGAACTCTTTTAAATATAGGTGTTTTGGCTGGCTTCAATGGAACTATTCTTGCGTATGGACAAACGTCCAGCGGCAAAACTTACACAATGGAGGTAAAAGTTTTAGCTTAATATATCATTTTAATTACAATTGCATTTCATTATATGTTAGTTAAGATTCTATGATAGTATGACAAAGATTGTTTTTCGATATTCTTAAAACTCAGTTTTGTTGCTTAACAGTCTGAAGACATATTTCAGAATTTTTTCTTTCTTTTGATAGGATGCATACGAAATAGAGTAAGTCAGTAGTTAAAAAATTACTGCCTACAATATGCCATCCAATTTAAAGAGGGTGCTAAGTTTACAATTTTGAAAACAAAGTGACTCGTCAGAGAATGTTCATCCATTATACAGAATTATAGCTTTAATTTTTTTTCTTCTGTCATTACTAATTTTGTAGAATTTGCTGAGAATGAGCTGTGATAGTAAGCGCCCTTAATTTTTTAATTTCTTATTTTACTCTAGAAAAAAGAGGAAGAAAAAATCGAAAATTCATTCAATAATTTAAATAAAGCAGTTTATCTTATTCATATACATAAAGTATATTATTTTCTCTTCAATTTTTTTCTTTAAAAAGTTTAAAAAACGCAATAATTTTTTTAATAAAATAAATGTTCAAAAAGTTCTCAAAGCTTAAAAAAGTTGTACTATTTACTCTTGTACTATTGACAAAACCGGTACTATTGAATTTGTGGTAAAGTAATAATAATCTAAATTTGTAGTAAGGTAATAATCTAAGGTTGTAATAATCTAAAATTGTAATAAGGTTCTATCATAATTTGGAATTATATCTAACAGAGTTTGTAAATGAGTTCTTTAGAGCAAAAAGAAGGGGGGAAATAAAATGGTTTAGACTGTTTTCTCATTTGGAAAAGTATGTTTAACCAAATTTACATGATAATACTAAATAAAGATTTGGATCTTTTTTATAAAATATCACGTGTTCATTCCAGCTGCTTATTTAAAAATTCGACAATTATTAGTAAAAATTGAATTTATGGAAATATTTTGCAAATAAAGCATCTAAATTAAAAGATAAAACGTTATTGTTTACATATTTACCGCATATTATTATTGTTATATATTACATATATTATTGTTACTTGCATTATTGTTACATATATTAATAGTAATTTGTTTGAGAGATTTTCAGTTTAACATCAATCATATATATTAACGCTAAAAAATGAGATTATTAAAAGTATTTCCAATATGTTTTAAATTTTTTTTATTGAAAATTCTTATATTTTTCCCGAACTCTAATGATTATCAGTTTTGGGAGAGCAAACCGAAAAATGTTAGAAACGTTTTTATTTATTTATTTTTTGAAAATGTTAGATCACATTGATGAAATTATTATTTTGTAATTTTTAGGGGCAAAAGAGGTAAATTTACAGGATATAAAAAAAGGATTTTAATTCGTTAAGTGATTGTGAAATATAGTTTTCAAAAAACTTCATTATTACTTTGTTTATTACGCATGAAAAGTCTTGTTATCTTTAAATTTAAATTACAAATTATTTATTTACAGGGAGATGTATCAGATAATGATAAATTAGGAATCATTCCAAGAGTTGCACATGATATATTTAGCAGAACAGAATCCTTAGATGACAAAACAAAAAGCGAGATAAAGGTAAGCATAAAATGAAATGTCTTTTATCAATGAAACATTACATTATATACTGCAAAACTTAGAACCCATGAAATATATTTCATGTTGATTAAATCACGTGGTTTAAATTATGACTTAAAACACGATTAAAATATCACTATGATATTTAAAAAAGATAATGATAAATTGTATCAGATAATGATAAATTAGGAATCATTCCAAGAGTTGCACATGATATATTTAGTAGAGCAGAATTCTTAGATGACAAAATAAAAAGCGAGATAAAGGTAAGCATAAAATGAAATATCTTTTATCAATGAAACATTACATGATATACTGTAAAACTTAGAACCCATGAAATATATTTCATGTTGTTTAAATCACGTGGTTTAAATTATGACTTAAAACACGATTAAAATATCACTATGATATTTAAAAAAGATAATGATAAATTGTATCAGATAATGATAAATTAGGAATCATTCCAAGAGTTGCACATGATATATTTAGTAGAGCAGAATTCTTAGATGACAAAATAAAAAGCGAGATAAAGGTAAGCATAAAATGAAATATCTTTTATCAATGAAACATTACATGATATACTGTAAAACTTAGAACCCATGAAATATATTTCATGTTGTTTAAATCACGTGGTTTAAATTATGACTTAAAACACGATTAAAATATCACTATGATATTTAAAAAAGATAATGATAAATTGTATCAGATAATGATAAATTAGGAATCATTCCAAGAGTTGCACATGATATATTTAGTAGAGCAGAATTCTTAGATGACAAAATAAAAAGCGAGATAAAGGTAAGCATAAAATGAAATATCTTTTATCAATGAAACATTACATGATATACTGTAAAACTTAGAACCCATGAAATATATTTCAAGTTAATTTTATCACGTGGTTTAAATTATGACTTAAAACACGATTAAAATATCACTATGATATTTCAAAAAATAATCATTATTTAAATTTAAAAATATTTTTACGTATTATAATAAGGCATGATTTCGTTGATAATGAATGTTCAGCACAGAGAAATAACGAAAGGGAGTTTTACACTATTTTTCATATAGATTTTGATTGAAGTAGTTTTATTAAAAAAGAAAGGCTAAATGCACGGGTGCCTCTCTTCAGTCATGAGGACTGAAATCAGTCTTGAGAAAACAGTGGGCTGAATGCCATGCTACAGTTAATCTCTTTCCAATTTGCTTTTTTAATTATTAAAAAAATCTTTTTTAAAAGAAAAAACAATAGTTTTAAAAAAATTATTAATTTTTAGCGAAGTAATTGGAATGATAGAACTTTAACATTTTCTCATGCTTTTTTTTTCCTCTGATGCTTTGAAATGCTTAGACAGTCANAAAATCAGTTTAAAACATGGATAATAATTGTATTTTAAATTTAAAAAGATAATTCTTTAATAGGTCAAGCCCTAGATCGCAGTTAAATAACTAGCATTATTTAACTAGGGCCTAACTCAGAATTTTAAACTTATTTCCCTTTTTTTATCCAAAAAAAAGCGTTTATAATAGTAAATAGTAAATATACAGAAAACATATCAGCCAACATCTGCCAACTCTCCTGGCCTACTGGTTTAATTAAAATTCCCCTGGTTTTTTTTTACATTTTAGAAAATTCCCTAAAATTGGGTATGTTTCCTAAAGAAAATCTCTATTGAAATAAAATTTTTGTACAGATTATTGCTTGCTTGAATATTTAAATAAGTATTACATAATGAAGCAAAGCTCATTTATGGAAATCAGTTAAAACTTTTTTTTGTTCTAAAGTGTTCAATTTTTTCTTTATTCAGGACTATCTTTTAAATTATTAATTAAAAAAATCTTTTAACTATCTTTGATGAATTAAATGTCTATTAATATTCGAAATTATGAGTAAACAAAATACTTTACATTTCAATTATTCTTAATGTCAACCATAACAGGTAAATATTGCAGTTTTTCTATTTTGATGACTACGAAAATTCCTTAAGTGTAAAATATTTAGTACATTATGCAACAATTACCATGAGATCGTATGTAACGATTGCCATTTCGTAAAATCTATTGGATTTTTCCCTATCCATGTTGCATGATATGATAGTGTCTATTTTTTACAAGCCAAATTTGTTTTCAAGTAAGTTTGAGTTAGATAAGCAAATTATTTTGCATTATTTTTTAGTGAATTTATTCTTTTTTTATTTGTAATTTAGTTTTAAATCTCTGATTACTGAATCTATTTTAATATGTGTGATTTTTTTCTCTCGTAATTTTGATTCACCAATTTGTTCTGAACAACACGCTTCACTGACAATGATTTTTTTTCCCGCCAATGCTTCTTGCTGTAGATCGTGCTAGTTTTATATTCAAATGTCTAATTTAAGTTATTTGATTCTTTTTGCCCTCATATCGATTATTCTACATACATTTTTTGCCATTTTGATGATTTCAAAATTGCAGAAGGAACTTACAGTATTCATAAGAATAGCATATTTTTCTCTAAAAAAGGAGGAATTTAAAATTGTCTCAGATATTGTGAGAATTCATCTATTTATTTATTTATTTTATTTTAGAAAGACTTACCACCTTACAGAGAGAGCTGTCTCACTCGATTGTTGAAGGAGAGTTTAGGTGGAAACTCACAAACTGCCATCATTGTTTGCATAAGACCTTCATCAGAGTGTGAAACAAAATACTCATTGGAGTTTGGTACACGGTAGGTGCTGCAAATATACATTTAGAAATAAAATCAGATTCTTAATATTTTTTATTTTGATACTTTTAGTCCCAAGTCAATCAGTTATAGTTTTTTTTTATGGCTGCGCGCTTTTAATAAAAATATAAAAACTTTAGATACTGTATTTTGCTAATTATAAACCATAGTAAATATGCAATATTCTTTTCATAGTTAAATGCTTTTCCTAAGAAGATCTCATTCTTAATAGTTATGTTTTTTTTTAATTAATAAAGCCTAGTAAATCAGTAATGCTCTTTTAGTGCCTGCATGTCTCTCATAGATGAAAATTTATGTTTAGGAAATTATATATTGTTATTTCTAAATCCTAATAAATCAGTAATACTCTTTTTATAGCTAAACATTTTCTTTAAAAATATTAAATTCTTATTAATAACATATTTCATTAATAATACATATTTGATCAGTAATATTCTCTTCATCGTTACATTAATAAGTATATTTTATTTTTTAAAATCTCTTGTAAATTAGTACCATTTATTTCATTTTCGTACGTCTGTTTTAATGATATCAGATTCTTACTAAGAATATTTTGTTATTTATAATCCCTAGTAGATCGGTAAAATTTTTCTTAAGCCTCTCCTGTAATATTACATTCACGTAACCGCCAACTCTACTACTATTTTCCTGTAGGCTACTGGATTTTTCCAGTTTAATTAAAATTCTCCTGGTTTTTGTACATTTAAGAAAATTCCCTAAAATTGTGTAAATTTTCTAAAAAATTCAGTATTGAAATAAACTTTTTGTATAGGTTATTACTTTCTTGCTTTAATATTTAAATAAATATTACTAATACATAATGAAGCAAACTTCATTTGTAGAATTCAGTTAAAAAAAATTTTTGTTTTAAAATGATAAATAAATTTTTATTCAGAACTCTTTTTTTAAATTAATTAAAAAATCTTTTAACTATCCTTGATGAATTAAATGCCTATTAATATTCGAAATTATGAGTGAACACAATGCATATCATTTCAAGTATGCTTAATGTCAATCATAACAGGGAAATATTGCAGTTTTTATATTTTAATTACTATAAAATTCCATGGGGGAAATTTTAGTACATTATGCAACAGTTATCATGAAATTTATATTACTTCGTAAAATCTGCTGCATTTTTTCCTATCCATTTTGACATTGGATTAATGATGTCTGTTTTTATTCTAGGGCAAAAATAATAAGGAATAGTCTTCAACTGAATGTGAAACTCAGTGGAAACAGGTTAAGTAGATTCTGGGATAGATTACAGAGATCTATTAGGAGCACGAATAAATACATAAAAGGATCTGTTACTGAACTTCAAAGATGGAGGAGTGGTATGATTATGATTCTTATTATATCTTCACTAGTGTCTTTGTTTGATTCAAAGTGTCATGTAGTGAATAAATTCAAAGTGATCCTGATTCAAAGTGCTGTGTGGTCATGCTTGGGATCCTTCTGTTTAATAAATAAAAAATAGTGTTAATAATTAAAGTAGAAAAACAAAACAAAAATTATATAACAATTCATCACATATCTGAGTGATTAAAATTATCATAGTGATAACTGCCAATTCTACTAGATTTTCCAGTAAACTAATGAATTTTACCAGTTTCTCCTGGTCTACTAGTGTAATAAAAATTTTCCTGGTTTTTATACATTTTAGAAAATTCCCTAAAATTGTGTCAGCTTCCTAAAAAAATCTCTATTGAAATAGAATTTTTGCAAAGATTGTTTGCTTTGAATAGAATTTTTAAGGCACAATAAAGCGAGCCTCATTTATGAAAATCAGTTTAAAACCCTTTTTTTGTTCGAAAATCAGTTTATTTTTTTACAGAATTCCCTTTTTAATTTAATTAAAAAAATCATTTGAAAAATTTTAATTAAATAAATGCTTATTACTATTAAAAGTTATGATAATACACAACATTTCAAGTATATTTAATGTCAATCATAACTGCGAAATATTGCAGTTTTTCGATTTTGATAACCCATAAAATATGCTATGTAAAAATGTTTAGTACATTATGCTACAATCATCATGAAAACTAGTGCAATTCTTGGATTTCTTCCGAGCCATGTTAGCAGCTATGTATATCTGAATGAGCAATTTCTAACGAAAAATTAAGTTTACTTTTCGCATGATTATTTTTTATTATCAGCTTTCGGCTCTTCTCTGTTTCCTATGACAATTTAGCGTTTTAAAAATAATGTCAGACAGCCTTCCTATAGAAATGATTCGTAATATTAACTTAGCTCATAATTTTTTAATCCTTTTTTTTTATAAGAATGATTCAACTCAAAAGCTCTTTCCCCGTAATAGTGTTTCTTAATTTCTTCTCAAATTCGACTAAAAGTAAAGCCATTTGTTCTGGCATAAATTAGAAAGAATCCTTCAAGGATTAAAAGAATTATTTGGTGCTTTCAATCTTAATTAAAATCAAAGGTGTTTTGTACGAGAATTAGACAAAGCAAGAAAATCAGAATTAATCGGTTGTAAGTTTAGTTTAGTTTATTTAAAACATTCTTATACATTGAGATTCAAAAGATTATTAAGACTCTTTTTTTCTTTCACAATCTTCAGTTTTTAGTTTTGATATGCGAGTTTTTCAACTTTTTTTCTTGTCTAGTTTGATTAATTTATTTATTTATTATTAATCAGCATGCATTTTATTTATTAATTCAGTATATTTTTTTTCGTGTTAAAGTTTGCATTCTTTTTTTAGTTTAAATCATTCATTCATTTCGCTTATATTCATTATTTAAAATTCCCTTATTTCATTCCTATTTACTAATTAAGTTTATACATTCAGTTTTGCTACCCAATTTTTCAAATTTTATAATTTTTGTAATTTATTTAAATCATTTACTTAATTCAAATTTATTATTTAAGGCTGTATCTCATTTATCAGTAACTTATATTCTTATTTTTTAGCTTGCTACATACATAAGTAATCGTATTTTATTATTTATATCCTTTCATTTAAATATTCATTTGCTTTATTCTTAATTATAATTATTTTTATATTTAATCTTTAAATTATGTTCAAAGTTCCCGAAAATAACATCAAAAAATCTAGCCATTCTTTCGTGAACTATTTGAAATGTCTGTATAAAGAACATAGCTGCCAACTCTACTGGATTTTTCCAGTTTCTCCTGGTCTACTGCTTAAATTAAAATTCTCCTGGTTTTTGTACATTTTAGAATATTCCATAAAAATGAGTAAGTTTCCTAAAAATATCTCAATTGAAATAAAATTTTTGTACAGATCATTGCTTGCATGCTAGAATATTTGAATAAGTTTTACTAATACATCATGAAGCGAATCTCGTTTATAGAAATTAGTTCAATACTTTTTCAGTTCTAAAATACTCCGTTTATTTTTGTTTGGAGCTCTCTTTTTAAGTTAATTAAAAAAAAATTTTTTTTTAATTATCTTTGATGAATTAAATGGCTTTTATTATTCGAAATTATGAGTGTACATAATACATAACATTTTAAGTATGTTTAATGTCAATCATGAAGGGAAAATATTACAGTTTTTCTACTTCGGTGACTATAAAATTCCCTAAAATTCTCTGTGTGTAAAATATTTAGTGGAACATGAAGCAATTATCACAATTACAAGTTGGCAGCTATGCATGAAATATATTTGAAGTGCCTGTATAAAGGAAAAGCACAAAATTTACAGAGCTTTATGATCTTGATTTTTAGGTGAATCTGTTCCAGAGGAAGAATGGATTCCTCTCTTTGACTGTGGTGAAGGGGACAGTTTGTCAGAATCAGCTCTGTTGGACACTTCTGACTGTGCCCATTCTGTTCAGAACATGTCTAACAGCCAGATTTTGTCTGATTCATCAATTATGAATACTTCTAGTTGTGACATCAATAGCTCATCCACTCTTCAAGACTGTGAAGATATCAGTGGTTTAATTAGACAAGTTGAGATTATGAAGAAGCAGTTTCAACAGGTTAGTATTCAAATTGTTTTAATGTTTTTTTATTTTTTTCTTCAAAATTGAATGTTACAAATTGATAAATATGGGGAGAAGAAACAAAATATTATTGTCTGAGCTGGGAAGGTTTAGGACAAAATGAATTAATCCCTGTCCAAAATCCCTTCGTCCAAAACTGTCTTAAACTTCCAAAACCCTTTTATTCAAGTTGTGCCCCAATTTTAAAAAGTATTGTGATAAATAAAATATTAGTTTTTGAACAAGTGACAAAATGAAAACAAGTTTTTGCTTTATTAAAGAAAGTTTACTATTATTTTTAATGCTGCATTATTTATCTATATGCGAAGACAATTTATCAGTATTAAAAGCATATTTATTCATATTTAGAGGATAAGGTATTCATTTTTGTTCTGCAATGAATTTTGCAGCTGCAAAAGTTATTAATCTTTTCCTATTATATTATATTACAGGGATGTCACCCCACAGGGAGAGACACGGAACATTCAGGGAATTTTAAAATCACCTAAAATAACAGGGAAAATGGGGGGAATTTTGAGTTTTTCCTCACAAACTGGGAAAATACAAGGAATTTTATTTCCTACTTTCATATTTTAAGAGTGATGGCTCCTCAAAGCACAGTATATTGATTTTTTAAAAATGATATTTCAGCTATACTAAACTATTTCATTTACTGTAATATCATTTGGTTTAAGTATGCTCAGCTGTTTCTTCTTTCCTTAAATTTTATCAGCAATTAAAACTACTATAGCTAGACTTATATTAGGTCACTGAATAGCATAGTGATTGTGTGCTTCCTTTTAATATGTACAGGGAAAACACATGGAATTTTTTCCCCAGATTTGAGTGGCAACCCTCTATTATTTTCCTTTAGTAACTTAAAATGAAATTTCATAAAAAGTCCAAAATATTTATTAATATATGTAATTATTATGTGTACAATTGTTACATATTTAGAATTTCTACTTTTTAAAAATGTTCTAGGCTCAAGACAGTTTTAGTCAGTTTAAGACAGTAAAACCCACGTGTCCTGTCCAAAACTAGTTTATGGGGTTCAAAACCCAGACCTTGATTATTGCTTTATATCAGATAATTTTGACTGGATGATCAAGATCACAAATCTAGCTTGATTGCCTGATGAAATTTGGAAATGTGTTTTATATGACCTGATTGGTTTCGACACTTTTTTCTTAAAAAAAGGAGGCTCAGTTAAAATTTTAATTTCATGTTCGATATATATAAGATCTAAAATTATCAATTTAAAATAAAATTTATAAAATTATAAAATATTTCCCAAAATAAGGACATATTTAATCCTTAAATTTACCACTTTTTCATGTCATGCCGACAGCTCTACAACAAATTAGAACTCATAAATTTCGAAATTAATTTTTTTCTACATTAAAAATGTTATTATCTGTGTTTCATACCAGAATCTTAGAGTTGGTTTTTAAAAAAAAACTTAAATTAGAATTTAGTGCAGTGTTTAACGTTGAATTTTATTAATATGCAACTGATTTAAATGAAGCAGTTATCTTAATTTAGTTTCGAAATTCATTTAAGACAATTTTTTTTTTGAAAAAAAGCTCAATTAAAATTTTAATTTTATGTTTGACAAGCAGAAGTCCCAAAATTTTAAAATTAAAGTAAATTTTAAGATTTTATAAAATATTTCTCAAAATTATAGTAAAATTTTCAAATTTTTCATGTCATGCCAACAGTTCTGAAATAAATTGGAACTCATAAATTAAAAAATTTAAACTAGAATCCTAAATTTTGTTTTAAACTGAAATTTTAAAATTCTTTTGAAAAAAGACAGAATTTAATGCATTGTTTAATTTTGAATTTTATTAATATGCAACTGATTTAAATGAAGGTTATTTTAATTCAGTTTCGAAGTTTATTTATGGTACTTATTTTCTTCTATTTTCAGCTCTCATTAGGAAATACCAAATCTAAGCATGTTAAAAGTGAGGAGGCAAATAACACGGATGAGAGACAGGCTGACGAAATGGTTTGTATTTTTTTACTGATGATGTTTTGGAAAAATATAAAAATAACAAGCATTAACGCATTACTACTCATAAAAAAGTATTATGCATATCGAATTAGCATTTATGAATTTTTCACTGCGAGTTAATTATTTAGATTAATAACATAAATTTGAAAGAAAATTATTGCTATCAATTTATTTGTAAGCTGTCAGTAAATTTACTGCAAAATTTTAATCGCTAAACCTAATTTCAATACTTTTTGTAAGATTTTTTAAAAGTATAATTAAAAACGTGCAAATAAAAGCAATTTTTTATGTAATACATATTTTCGTATGCTTACTGCTACTAAACCGAGTTTGATTACTAAAGCAATCATATTTGATTTATTTAGTCATATTTTTGTTTTAATTTTTTGTAAGTATCAAGTTAAAAATATTTTTTAATTGACGAAATTATGTATTAAATTTTTAATATCAAATTTACAGCTATTTTATTCAATTAGGACGTTAAAATTCATCTTGAGGCTGTTAAAAAACTACCTGAATTAACACTACTTTATAGAAAAAGTCTTATATGTTATTTACATAGAAGAATTAAATATTTTTAAGTTTTGAAAACTCGATGGAAACATTGAAGTGAATGTAAAAACAACGCTGCAGAAGTAAATTTATAAATTTGAAAGCTTGCACAAAGAAAAACATTAGTAAAGCTCCTTTTTTTACTCTAAAAAGCATTGTCTACCTTTTCTGTAGCAGAATTCAAATCTTTTTCCAAATTTGAGAAAATTGAATACAAAGAGTGTGATGCTTTCTGACATTAAACTTTGCTATCAAGCAATTGTGTAATGGTGTTGTTAATCAGTTTCCTTTGTAAGTATTCTTAAATGTGTAGCATGGTTAGTCTCCAAAAAGGTTAAAAATATATTTTTAGTTTATAAGCCCTCTAAGAAGTCTTATTTTTTTCTCGGTATCTTTAAAACACTGTAATTTTAAGACGAAATAAATAAATTGTGTTTTGTATATTTTCAATTGTTTTCTTTTGAAAACAATAACATTTTAAAAGTACGCAGTAAAATTTTTAAGAACAAATCTTCAATTGCACTAAAACAATCAGTGTATCTGAAAATTTTAATGTCCCTGACTTTATTTTCTTGATTAGTCTAATTATGTGATTATTTATTAAGCCGTGATTATTTTCTTCACTGATTGGAAATGAAAAAATTATCGTCGAAACTTTGCAGATTTTCTTTAAATTTTTCCTAAAAGTGCTATGTTGTTAATGCATATAAGGATATATGAAGAAGGAAGGCTTAAGGATATATGAGTTCCAACATTAACATGCATAGTTTTTTTTAAAGATTAATACATAAGTACAATAATACCCAAGGATGCATACTAAGTAAAATAATACATAAGTACAATAATGCACCGTTCTTTAGGATATAATAATGCACAATGATGCATAGTAATTATGATAATACATAACGAGTTTATGCAAGCTTTTAAATTTCTACCAAATGTACTAGCTGAAAAAATTTTGTCTTTCTTTATAGATCAAGCTAAAAGAAGAGCTGGCGTTCTATAAGGAAAGGAATCTAATCCACCATCAGGGCATGGAAACAGTTACGCAAGAGTTAAAATTGCAAGAGATTAGATGCAATGAATTATCAAGCAAGTTAATAGCAGAAACAGGAAAAAGTAAAATACAAGAAGCAAAAGCAGAACGTCGCATGCGAGATATAAGAAGATGCCGGAAGGTGCTTGATGAGTACTTGGAAGTTTTTAGTAAAAAAAATTCACAGAAGAGCATCGCCTGTTCTCTTAAGCCTTTGAGTGAAATCTGCCCGTCAATTGACGACAAGTTAAGACGCATCACCGGGGAAGATCTGAAGTCAACGCTGCATGCTGAGAATATTCAAGACCAAATTTTCAGGATGTATTTTAAACTTCAAGGAATGACAAATTTTCGTGTCGAGCAAGAGCAAAAGATTGCCACAGTCACCTCTGAAAGAGATTCTGCAATTGAAAATAACATGTCCTTGCAGGAAGAGCTGTACAATTTGAGTATAAGCCATGCAGCTATGGGTCAGGCTTTGAAAGTATCAATGGTAGATAAGTTGCAACATTTGAAGATTGAGGGTTTGCAGGAATCATTGTTTGAAGGCTGTGTACAGAATGGTGTTATGAAGCTGTGCGATCAGCTCATAGGCTTATATGAAAAATGTGATCAGCAGGAAAAAAAGATTGCCGCAATTTCTGAAGAGAGGGACATTCTCGGACAATCGCTTGTTTTTGCGGGGATTGACATGGACAATTTACGCAAAACCCATGAATCTGAAAAGAAGCTCTCCGATGCTAAGATTGATAGTATGTCTGACGAAATTGAAACTCTACATCTTGAACTGGAAAAAGAGCGTTCACGTGGGTCTCATTGTTCTTACATTAACCATCGCCTAAGAGAGGAAAACGAAGCTAATGAAGTAAAAATCAATTCGTTGGAGGAGGAATTGTTCACGGAGAGGGTTCTGAACGAAGAAGAAACTAGTCGAATGGAACTATTACTTCTGGAAAAAGCAAATGCTGAAAGTTTATTGGCAGCGAGATTGTGTTGTTCGGATAAGAGGAATCAAATTATTGTTGAAGAATTTAAAAAGAGAGTTGGTGATCTGATGGTGTTGTTCAAGAACTTTTTAGACAAGTTTAACGTACCTCCTTTTGATGATGCAGATCTTGAAGAAAACGCTGTGGTAGAGGGGAACACTACGTTCGTAAAAAACGGCAGTTCTGAGGATTTGAACAACAATGAAGTCCTCACTTCTGATTTGTTTCTAGATAAAACGTCCACTGAAGAAGTTCATTTTGAAACTCTCTCTGGCTCTTTCTCCGGAAATGCAGAACCTTCTCCCGGAATTAAAGAAACAGGAGAAGTTACAGAGAATTTCAAGGTGGAAGAGTTGGTGTTGGATTCAGAATGGTACAGACCAGTGTGGTGAGCAGCAGACAAAATAAAATCTTCTTAATTAAGTTTGGAAGGGTCTATTCATCAACTTTGAAACGGAATTTATTATTATTTCTCTGAGATCAGTCAGTTGTTATATTCACAGAAAACTTCACCCTTCATTCAATTTAAATGGTTGTAAAATAAAATACTCATGGTTTAATTTTTAATACTTTTGTTTCATTTGTTCAATTACATTCTAAAGAAACTAAAATGCTTTTTTTGTGCGTTTATGTTGATCAAGGTTGTCACTGGAGGGATGTAGGGAGACACGGAATTCTTAAGAAAATTAATGATTTATTTGGGAAATTCTTTAAATAATCAGAAGGGGCTGTATTTTGCAAGTGATCACACTAAAATGCATTTCTAACGTGTTCATTCTAGCAATGGAACTATTAATTGACATGTTATGTATTTATCTTATGGTATTTTTAGGGTTTAAAGGTAATTTGATTTTTAAAAAAACTGATTTTTCAGGTGATTTGAAGAACTGATTTGATTCTTTAATGCAAATCATTTCTTTTATTAGATGACTAGTAAATTACTGTGAATGTTTAAAAGAATCTTACAGGCATAAAACCAGCAATTTAAGTGTAAATTAATAAATATAGCATTTTAAATGCAATTAAAATAATTATCTCTAAAATACATTTAATAAAACTCATTATCACACTATAAAATAAACTATCTGATAGAAATTTATTATTTTTCAATTTAGGAAAATACATACACCCTTATTGGTTTACTACTTATCAACAGTTTCAGATACGCATATCTAGAAACAAATGATATCTATAAAGGATATTTTATATCAAATCTAAAAAAGATATTCTCTACAGCTAAGAATACTTCTTAGGGAACAGCATAACAGAGGTTTACATCGGCTTTAGTGACATTGACAAAATTTAATTAATAATTCAACAGAAACTAAAAAATACTTCAGATAAAACTATAATACAGTCAAACCCCGCTATAGTGAAACTTCAAGGGACCGAAATTTTGGTTCACTATAACCGGGAGTTCATTATATCCGTTACGCAGGCAATTTAACTAATGGTTCCCAAAAATCCTCCCTTTTATTACACATTGTTCCAATAAATGACTGAAAAATATTATGTAGTAGCAAAAAATGTGTTATTTTTTAATACTCTGCGTCTTACGTGCAAAAAAATTTTGTTATTTTCAGCTGATGAGCAATCCTCAACATCAAATATTGAAACACTTCCTGACTTTCGGATAATTTTTCCTGAATTTCTGTTATTCCGCTTTTTAAGCCTGCGAAATCATCGACATTTGTCCAAATACTGGCGGCTTCTTCAAATGGTGAACCACTTCAGTAATACTTCTTCAACATTCTTGTGATCTGCTTTTCTCAACTTTTTTCTGCCATCGAAATTTTTTTCATGAGCATAATTAATTGCCCATTTTCCAAATGTTACAAACTGCAGATTTGGATAGTTTGGATAGATAGAACTGCAGATTTGGATTCCTGTAAATATCAACTTGATTGCATCCATTTTCAAATTTTCTGATTATGCCCATTTTATCATCAATGGAGAACGTTTTACGTTTACTGGTCGCCATAGTTNAAGGGCCAAAATAGATTTTGTTAATAGATAGTAAAATATCCATTTTTAATTTAATCCGAAATTTTCATGTTCATTTAGTTTTTTTTTTTATCTCAGGTCCAATGACTTAAGAAATAGAGATTTCATCTTGCGGTTGTTGCATAGGAAATTTTATCTTTATGCTGTGTAGAGCGTTTTTGATAATGGTATTATTATGTCAAATCAAAAAACAGTTCTGATGATACTGAAATAGAATACATGCTAAAGCATAGCTGCCAGCTCCACTGGATTTTTCCAGTTTCTCCTGGTCAACTGGTTTTTGCACATTTTAGAATATTCCCCAAAATTGAATATGTTTCCTAAAAAAGTCCCAATTGAAATAGAATTTTTGTACGGATTCTTACTTGCTTGTTTGAATATTTAAAAAAGTTTTAAAAATACATAATGAAGCGACCCTCACTTATTTAAAAAAAAAATATTTTGTTCTAAAATGTTATTTTTATTCAAAGCTATCTCTTTAAATTAATTTTGAAAAATCTTTTAACTATCTTTGATGAATTAAATGTCTATTAATATTCGAAATTATAAGTAAGTATAAAGCATAACATTTCAAGTATGCTTAATGTCAATTATAACTGTAAAATATTGTAGTTTATCTGTATTGATGACTGTAAAAATTCCCTATGTGTTGAATATTTAGTACATTATGCAACAAATATCATGAAATTTACATTTTGTAAAATCTACTGGATTTTTTCTTATCCTTGTTGGCAGCGATGGGCAAAAGAACGCATTCTATTACTGCTGATAATATGTGAGCTTTATATCATATAAATGCTAAATGCTTATTTAAATCAGCAATATTTTTTGAAAAGAAAATCTAAGGGAATAAAAATTGTTTTACCTGTATTACTCGACGGTATCCTTCAGAACACGTAATAAACAAAGTTATTACTCAGATAAGAGGAGAAGAATTTTTATTGACTAAATAATTAAAATATAATTCTACTATCAGCTTTTTTTTTCGAACTATTTCTTTTTTTTTTGTTTTGTTTTGTTTACAAGAGAAAATAATTATAGGCCAAGTAAAGGGTCGAAGTTTTGCCATTTATAGAAATCTTATTTTAGATTTTAGAAAAAAATCACTACTGTCCCAGGCCAAATCATTAAACGTACCATTAACTATGCAAAATCTTAATTATCAGGTGATACTATGCAGCTTTATTGTTTTTAACCGACTGAAACCGTTAGTATACTTTTCGACAATTTAACGTGAATCAAGCGTTCTAATAGTTTTAGAAATAACTATTTTTCCTTTATGAAATAGGAAAAATAGCTAATAAAGTGATAAATTTTAGAGAATTTTTATTTATTTATTTTTTTTTATTTTATGCAATTTTTTTAACTTTTTTATTCAATATTTTTAAGTGAATAAAGTGTTCTATATATGAAAAGAAATATTTTTCTTTGCTAAAGAGCGAATAATGGCTGAAAAAGAAACAAAAGTCGTATTAGGAGGCAGGCACGCATGACACCCCGTTACTCCCTATAATATTAACTTATAAATTTCAAACTCGGCACGAAATTCGAGTTTAATGTATCAAACAATTGTACAAAAGGAATTTTTTATAGACCATTTAGTGGGACCACAAGGACCAAAATATGTTTTCGTTGACTAATCGGGACGAGGTGCTTTAATATAAATATACGCGGGACACGTTGGTGAAGCATGGCGTATTTGGTAGCGCTGTGGGCAAGGTTGATATATAGACCCGGATGTCCTGGGTTCGAAACCCTGCAAGGGTCGACTTTAATTTTTTTTATATATTTTATATTTTGCTTTTTAATATACTTTTCGGCAATTTAACGTGAATCAAGTGTTCTGCTTATAGAAATAAATTTTTCCTTAATGAAATAGGAATAATAGCTAATAAAGTGATAAATTTTGAATAATTTTTTTTGTTCATTTTTTTTATTTTATGCAATTTTTTTATCTTCATTTTTAATATTTTTAAGTGAATAAAGTGTTCTATATATGAAAAGAAATATTTTTCTTTGTTAAAGAGCGAATAATGGCTGAAAAAGGGACAAAAGTCGTATCAGGAGGCACGCACACATTACATCCTGTTACTCCCTATAATATTAAGTTATAAATTTCAAACTTGGCACGAAATTAGAGCTTAATGTATCGCACAATTGTACTAAAGAAATTTTTTATAGACCATTTAGTGGGACCACAATGGGCCAAAATATGTTTTCGTTGACTTATCGGTAGGAGGTGCTTTAATATAAATATACGCAGGGCACGTAAGTGAAGCGTGGCACAGTTGGTTGCGCTGTGGGCAAGGTTGATATGTAGTCCCTGGAGTGCTGGGTTCGAAACCATGCAAAGAGGCGACTTTAAATTTTTTTATTTATTTTATATTATGCTTTTTAATATACTTTTCGGCAATTTAACGTGAATCAAGTGTTCTGCTTATAGAAATAAATTTTTTCTTTATGAAATAGGAATAATAGCTAATGAAGTGATAAATTTTGAATATTTTTTTTTTGTTTATTTTTTTTATTTTTATGCAATTTTTTTTATCTTCTTTTTTAATATTTTTAAGTGAATAAAGTGCTCTATATATGAAAAGAAATATTTTTCTTTGTTAAAGAGCGAATAATGGCTGAAAAAGGGACAAAAGTCGTATCAGGAGGCACGCACACATTACACCCCGTTACTCCCTATAATATTAAGTTATAAATTTCAAACTCGGCACGAAATTCGAGTTTAATGTTTCGCACAATTGTACTAAAGAAATTTTTTATAGACCATTTAGTGAGACCACACTGGACCAAAATATGTTTTCGTTGACTTATCGGTAGGAGGTGCTTTAATATAAATATACGCAGGGCACGTAAGTGAAGCGTGGCACAGTTCGTAGCGCTGTGGGCAAGGTTGATATGTAGTCCCGGGAGTGCTGGGTTCGAAACCATGCAAAGAGGCGACTTTAAATTTTTTTATTTATTTTATATTATGCTTTTTAATATACTTTTCGGCAATTTAACGTGCATCAAGTGTTCTGCTTATAGAAATAAATTTTTCCTTAATGAAATAGGAATAATAGCTAATAAAGTGATAAATTTTGAATAATTTTTTTTGTTCATTTTTTTTATTTTATGCAATTTTTTTATCTTCATTTTTAATATTTTTAAGTGAATAAAGTGTTCTATATATGAAAAGAAATATTTTTCTTTGTTAAAGAACGAATAATGGCTGAAAAAGGGACAAAAGTCGTATCAGGAGGCACGCACACATTACACCCTGTTACTCCCTATAATATNATTTTTTTAATTTCTTTTTCAATATTTTTAAGTGAATAAAGTGTTCTATAGTTCAAAAGAATTATTTTTCTTTGTTAAAGAGCGAATAATGGATGAAAAAGGGACAAAAGTCGTATCAGGAGGCACGCACACATCACACCCCGTTACTCCCTGTAATATTAACCAATAAATTTTGTGCTCGGCCCGAAATTAGAGTTTTATGTAACAAACAATTGTACTAAAGGAGTTTTTTATAGACCAACTAGTGGGCCCACAATGGGCCAAAATATGATTTT